TTCTAAAGCTACAAATGACATTATCAGTCTACCCATGGATATATAAATTTGCCTGCCACAATCTGGCAACGTCGCACTACCCTCAAAGCCATAGAGATACGGTGATAGTCCAAGAGCCGGCAGCAAATTTTTGATTACATGGCCTTATGAGATGACATGAGAAGTAGTCAAAGTGCACGTATTTTGTTGCTAAAATACAAACTTGCCAGGTTAAATGTTAATCGTAGCGGTGTAATTAATGTAATTCAGAAGGAAAATCAACTTGTCCTTGAAATGACCTACAAAGTGAATATCAACGTCAAATCAAAGATAATGTGATTTTCTAAAACTTTTGTAACAAACGTTTTTTCTAACACCCTTAGTTTCTGATATATTAGGGTATATCCATTCTTCTGGGATACCTTTAAAAAGATTAGTGTCTCTCTACATGAGCATATGATTGCATATAAGCGACTAGAATCCCGCTCATTTTTAAAAAGGATATTAGACGAGCTGAGAACTTTTTCAACTCGTTTTATTTTCATAATCACGCTTGTTGAGTGTGTATGATATAAAAGGAAGCCACGCGTTAACTAGGATCAAATTTATTGGAACAATTTTTTTAAATGAATTAAACACAGTGTTAGAAGCAATTCAATGTTTCAAAAACCTCAAAAATGGGAATATTCAACACATTAAAACTCGGTTAAAATCATATTTTTTGAAGGCTAAGTATATAAATTAATGCTAAATCTTTGCTCTGTAAGACTCCAAAGAGTTTTTGATTAGTCTATTTTGAAGCGATGTTAAGCTTTTTTGTTAAAGCCAAAGTTGACAAACTTTCGATTTTGGCAGACTGTATGAAAATGGAAATTTTGCTATACAAGTTCCTATAATATTTCGGGGTTATTATAACGGTTGTACTATTTGTTGAATACTAGTAGAACATTCGTCGTGCGTAAACAGAAAATCTAGTACAGGTATCAGACATCCTTTCTAACAATTCCCGAGAATAATACCATGTCTGTCTGTACATGTGCAGAGAAAGCCTATCATCAAATAGTAGCGCGCACTTAACAATAATCGCTTCCAAGTAGATTTTAATGCATACTCAAATATGGTTTCTCGTTTTTTGCAATCCGTACAGGAACATTTATACTCAATGGTTTCCACGATGCTTCAGTGGCAAATCATTGAAATGATTTTTACCGATTTAAATCACCAGCAAGAGAGCGAAGATCATATTATACCGGATGTTTAACTATATAGGTAACTAACAAAATGCTTCTTAGAATGTTCCGAAGTTCCTGGAGAGAGACGGAAAAAACCGAAATTTCCCAAAATCGTTTTAATTTCTCTCTGACTTTATTTGTAGTGGGATTTTATAATAAATCCTTTACAAGAGGGTATAATTAGAATTTCAATATGACGCTTCGTCTCTTGTCATCCAGCATCAACGTTATTTTTTCTTATACAAGCTATACCGGATTTTTAAACATTTGAATAGAGTTTTTGATTCTGATTTAAAAAATGTATATGTCACATTGGCATTGCCAAAACTCAGTTATTTCAGAAAAACAGAATTTCCTAGGTAGGCGTTGAAATTATCAGATAGACCAGAGTTCCCCAAACTTTTTTGTGTCGTAGACCCCTTGCCATGTTTTTCTGTGTTGGGTAGACCCCCTACTTACCTGATATTGATTTCCTGTAAATTTCTAACTGTAGTGAAGTTTAGTGTTAAAAACTTAAAGTAAAAACACATGTTAATTTATACATTTATTAATTGAATTTAAATTAAAACTACTCAAAATAAAATTTTGTATCTGTTATGTAAAATATACGTAACATTAAATAAACAATAAGTGCCCGCATTGGGAATAAGTGCCCGCATTGAAAAAAAATAAGAGGGATAAAATAAAAAAAGTGAAAAATAATAAAAAAGTTTTTTACTTAAAATAGTACAATAAGCGAGTTCGTTTATTAATTGTAACATAAACATATGTTCTACAATGATTTCACTGTTAGTTTGATTAAATTCCGCTTAGTTATCCGAAAATAGGCAAAAAATTAACGAATTTTAGTGTGTACCTATCCTTGAATTTTCAGAATAATTAAAAAAAATATTTTCTATAAAATTTAAAAAAAATCAATGCGGGCACTTATTCCCAATGCGGACATTTATTGGTCAGACACCAATAAACATAAAATAAACTATAAATAAAATAACATAAGCAATAAGTCAATATTTTTAGTGAGAAGGATGAACCTGACGCTTTAATAATAAATTATCAACATTTGGCGTCAATTTTGTAAGGGTTAATCTTAAATCTCCTCGCCTAATGATGTCCAGTCTGTTTCTTTTTTTCGTTAGGAGTTTGGTAACAGCGCTGAACCCCCTTTCCACTAGGTATGACGATGGAAAGGAAATTAAAAATTTCCTCGCTATATTCCATAATACGGGATAAGTAACGGGTATGTTGTTTTGCAGCCAGAATTGCTGATATCCGTTTTTAAACTGAACTTTAAGTTCTTCGTTTGTACTTAGTTCAGTCAGTTCCTCTTGTATTATGACATTCGTTTCTTCTATGTCACCATATGGATTAATTATCCACGGTGGTATTACCATAGTCAAAATATCCTCAAGCCTAGATTCAAAATCTGAATAGAGGGCATTTAAATATTGAACGTAAGTTGAAACGTCGTCTTCCTGGCAGCTTGTCTGTGACAAATTGGGGAACTGAGAAAATTCGCCCCGTCCAATATTGTGCTTCATTAGTTTAACTTTGGCAAGAAACGCTGATAAGATGGACTTTGTTTTAATCAAATTTAAACTGTCGCCTTGTAATTGCAAATTAACCATATTAAATTTTGTAAACAAATCTGTTAAATAGGCGATGTCTGTTTTCCTCTTCATTAAATTTTCTTTTAAAATTTTATCTTTAGTAACCAGAAATTCTAAAATAGTCTCAAAAAGTGCAAAAAATCTTGTCAAACATAAGCCTTTCGACAGCCAGCGTACTTCAGTGTGAAGGAGTAATTGATGAAAGTGTTCGTCATTTTCTTCACACAACTGCGCAAATAACCGCGTATTCAACGCGTTGCTTCGGATTCGGCTTACTGCATCAATGACTAAATGAAGTGATTCATGCAATCTAACACTCAAATTTTTAGCAACTAAATGTTGTCGATGGATGACGCAATGTATTGCTAACACCCCTGACACATTTTGTTTTAAATAGCTTATAAATCCACGATAACGTCCAACCATGGCAGGTGCTCCATCTGTAGCTACTGATATTATATTTGATAAAGGAATTGCTTTTTCAATGAAGTAATCCTTCAAAACATGAAATATTGATTCACCTTTAGTGTCGGTTATCAAAGTTCTTGCGAAGAGCAGTTCTTCGTAGATTTCTTGATTCATAATAAAACGAACATATGCCAATAATAATGCTGCATTATAAGGTAAAGTTGACTCGTCCAGTTGTATACAGAAATGGGTCGTTTGCAAATAATTACATAAGAAGCTTTCAATATCAGAACTCATTTCATCAATATGCCTTTCAACAGTATTGTTGCTTAGGGGAACTCTTTTAATGATATCAGATGCAGGTTCGTGTAAAACAGTTTTTAAAACCTCTTCAACGGCTGGCAAAATTAACTTCTCTCCGATAGTATGCGGTTTTCCGGATTTTGCTATAAGTAACCAGATATTGTAAGACGCCCGCAAACCATCATCATTTCTTTGTGACGTCGAAGCGAACATTCTGTCCAGTGTAGGTCTCTTCTGAAATTTATCTTTGAGTGTTTGAAAGTATTTCAAATCTTTTTCTGTTTTATCAGGGTGGTATCTTGTCAGACGATCTTGCAGTTTAGATGGTTTCATAGCGTCATTGCCCAAAACTTTGTTGCATAAAAGGCACATAGGCGATTGTTTGTCCGGCAATGATGGAATGAAGCCAAATTTCAAATAATCAACACTGTACTGTCTACATTTCTTTTTAGATTCGGACATGGCATCAGTCATCTGTGGGCAAAATTAAATTATTTAAATAAGACAGAAAATCCGGCAGCTGTATATTAAAAATATTTTTTGATTTTTCCGAAAACATTCCATAATTCGAACATCTTCTTGCAACAATTAGCTCGAATTACGAAGATTGCACATCATATTACCGATTGCTAAAACTTTCAAAAAGAAACTATTGAGGAGTACTCGTGTAATTTTGCATGATTGAATATTTAACTACTAATAACTAAAGTCATGATCGGCGTAATTTATCTATCTTTGCTAACTACGAGTACAAAACTAAAATTTAATAAAAAATAATGTACTTACTTTTCTCCAGCACTCTCAAACAAAATAACACTGACTCACTATAATTTGTGTGATATACTATCTGTTTATATTTTTTAAAATATCTTCTTAGCACTTTCCTTTTCAAGATTCAGGAAACGAATAAACGTATTTGTCCCACATTCGTATTTATAGAGTGACGAATTGAACAAGTCAGTGCAAGGTAGCGAACCTCTGAGACTGCGACTCTCAGGTTTTTACAAGTTCAAAATGTATTGCGACCACAAAGCGAATACCAACATCCTACAACTTACACAATTTTATAAACTATATAATACATTTTTTACTTCATAGGTACTTTTATAAATAATGTATATGTTTTGATATTATAAGATAGTATGATGTAAGTAAATAGGTACTATCAGTGTATGTGTTGAGATCCACTATCGTGGACCCCCCCATATTCATTTCATGGACCCCCAAATTTTTTTTCGCTGACGTAGACCCCTTGCAGGTTGTCATAGACCCGTAGGGGTCGATATAGACTACTTTGGGAATCAATGAGATAGACGTTTGTTTCCGTTCCCAATGATAAGGGCCGAATACTTTTGCCCGCTAGTGTACAATTTGTCGAGAGAAAGCACACACAATAATGGACATTTCTTCTCTCGAAAAGCCGGTAAGCACCATCGAATGGTACCGTACCCCACTATCACGGTACCATTGAAAGCGGCAATGGTTCTAGTCATTCACGCGCGAACACGACCAGGTACCACCTAACGAAAAACAAGCGAAGACCGCGACCGCGCGATTCGAATTTTTGCGGGAGATGCCTCAAAAAAGAAAATCGCTGCTAGTACGAACGAACCGAAAATAGTTCCAAACGTCTTTAAGGAATAAAAAAGTAAAAGTACTTCTAGACCCAGCGGCCATAACTCAAAATGTAGATAATTTTTGCGGCCTCAAGGGTGTCAAATTGTTGCGAAAAGTGCTACAAGCGCTTTAAGTGTATCAAGTGGTTATTTTTATATCGTAGTGGATAGTGACTAAGAGTAAAATGAGGGTAATCGACTTGGTATGGTTTCTCGTGATAAGTGCTGTTCAGGCCAAAGAAGAGGATAAAGAGAAGCCGTTGAATAATACTAGGGAAGCGAGGGAATATTTAAGTGAGGTAGGTGTTGGATTTTTTGTGTCTCTATACATTTCTTTTGGATATCAATGTTTATAATCGCAATTTCACTTCATATTCCAAAACGGGCGAAGTGTAATTGCGAAAAATTTCGAAATTGAAATAGTTTTTTTTGGATGTACATCACGAAAAACCGTCGGTCTGTTTATTTGTCGAACTGTCCGCTAATTTTATAACCGAACTTGAGAAGTACCGCTTGGATTTTGAAGAAATTCTCACACAAGGTCACTACTATGCCTAGGATAAACAACAAGCATTGTAGCTTTTGAAAATCTGTCTAGCGGCGGCCGAGCCAGGAGCGAAAACACAAAGGCGATAAAAATCGCTCAAACTCCCTTTTTTGGCCTCCCAATCATTTTTGGAAATTGTTTTTGTAGGGGTTGAAGCTTGAGGGTTGGGGTTGCAAATGATTAAGATTATTCGAAATAACGATGCAGCATCGCGCGGAGGCCACTGCCGACTGTGCAATGGGTAACAACTGGTGAATCTGCGGTGGTGTCGTCACTGACACACCTCTACAGGAAATCATTATACATTTTAGCAATATTTGGATATTAGGAGTACGTACCACTCTATAAATAACGTAAAATGTATCAATATACGATTTCAAGATATTTCACTGAAAAATTTATTTTTTTTATTTACTATACTAAGTGACATAAATCCGAACACCCAGTTTAAATGGTTTTATTTTAATAAAATTTTGTATAAGTACTTAATGAAGCATAATAAGTAAATGATAAGAATTTCAAAATGATTGCACTGCTTTAAAGCCCTTTGACCTTTAATAATGTGTGGATGCACCCTGATGTGCTACGCATTCTCCAACGCGCCTAGGCATGCTTCTGATCAGGTGGTCAATGTCCTCCTGTAGTATCTCATTCCAGGCAACCACCAACTCCTCTCGAAGTGCTTCTAGAGTCTGAGGAGGACGTTGCAAATTGAGCAATCTCCTACCCATCATATCCCACACGTGCTCAATTGAGGATAAGTCGGGAGATTTTGGTGGCCATGGTAACAATGTGACATCATTATGTTGAAAGAAGTCTATTGTGACTCTTGCAACATGTGGTCGGGCATTATCTTGTTGGAAAGTTGGATCTGCCAGGGTGTCAAGATAGGGTAAAAGATGGGGTTCTAGAACTTCGTGGATATAACGCTGCGCGTTCATGTTACCTCTGACGAAGATTAAAGGTGACCTGGAACTATAAGCTATAGCACCCCAAACCATAACTCCAACAGTGTGATGAACATGTCTTTCAACAAAAAACTGTGGATTCCTCCTTTCACCACGTCGCCTTCTAACCCTGGCACGACCATCGTGCATGCCTAAACAAAATCGAGACTCGTCACTAAAGACAATACTGTTCCATTCCTGATCCCAGAGTGACCGTTGTCTGCACCACTCAAGGCGATTACGTCGGTGTTCTCGAGTTAAAGGGAGGACCCAGTGTGGCCGGTATGAAAATAAACCAAAACTTCTCATTCGTCGGTAAACACTTCGCATGCCAATAGGCGTTCCGTGTTCTGCAAACCATTTATTTGCAATGGACCTGGTAGTGGAGAAACGGTCCCTTAAGGCCAATAATCCTAGGCGGCGATCTTCAGGGTCTGTTGTTCTACGGCGGCGTCCAGTGCCCCTTGCTCTTTGCGTACGGCCTTCTCGAAGCCATGCCTGACAACACCTAACCACAGTGTCTACACTTCTTTGCACTCTAACTGCAATTGCCCGAAAAGAAAGTCCAGCTTCCCGAAGTCCCACTATACGGCCCCTATCAAACTCACTAAGTTGACGAAATCGTACAGGTCTCCGTACTCTAGGCATCGTAACCGATCGTAAAGGATGTCAAGAACCAAAATCCGCCAACGTTGATTCTTTACTGCGGCTGAAATATTCATTTTTAGAGCGTTAGTGAATTAAAAAAAATCAGTATAAAAACAGGAATGAATAAGGCTGAAAATTTTTTCACTTGTTATTTACAGTAAGATAAATACATTCACCAACTTTTAGTAAAATAAAACGATTTAAACTGGGTGTTCGAATTTATATGTCACTTAGTATATTTAATATATGAAGAATTCAGGAAATACTGTAATTTTTACCTACCTACCTACTTAGATTTTTTATTGGTGCAAATTATGTTATACAATAAATTGTAAAAGCATAATAACAAAATCTAGCGTGCCATGTCACGACATTCTCGGACAGAAACAAACGAATAACCTAAAAATGATTAGTGCAAACGTCAAAACTATTGAGGTCGCGTAGTTCCGCAAGTTAGCTTTCAAATTTTCAAATTTTATTTTCTTAAAAGATGTGTGCGGTCCCGAAAAGAACCTATTTGATTTTCCAGCGATTTGGGGTACCAGTTATTGATGTCTGGTCAGGTGCTGGAACTGTTTGCTATCGTTGTCAATGCATGGTTGCACCTTAACTCAACAGCAGTTTCGATTTTGGCAGCAGAAATTTGATCGACTGCATTCCATATGCGGCCTACCGATATCTTCTACTCTGCCGCAAAAATAAAACTTTAGGCTGGATCAAGCAACGCGAAAAAGTTTTGTAATTCGGTCCAAAAGCGGCGGAGGGGAAGGTCAAAAACAAAACAAAACAAAAATCGACTAAACCTGATCATTTTTGAAAAAAATTTGAGGGGTCAAAGATTCGGAGTGGGGTGAAGGTGTATCGCAATTTTTTTATGTAGTATGATAATATCCTTTCAACCCCGGTAACTCTACGTCCTTGAAACCGGCGGCCGATGTTCGTAAGTGTCATCGCACGACTGGCGATCTGCCGCGTCTGACGCATCGTGCATTCATGACGACGCGACGTTGCCAGATGGATGATGCTACGGGTAGGGCAGGTGAAGAATGTTATGAACGAATGGTATGTTATACATGTTCGTAATTAACTTTTTTCTCGGAGGGTGTAACTTTAACATGCTTTCATCCGTCCAACCTAAGACAGCCAACCATGGACAGTTGTTTCGTGCTTTTTTTCAACTCATCAAAATGGTTTCTGGGACAACGCAACTTATACACAAGGTTCACTTCACAAAATGGCTATTTATACTTTTTTAAATATAGAGGATTTCACCTATACAAAGTTGGCACTTGCAGACAAAATGACATCCATAGACCTTTTTGAACACCAAAAATATTTAACAACCTGCCTCCACAGAAGGATCACTTGAACAAGCCGTTTTAAATCTGAGCTGTAAAGCTACTTTACCAGTAACCAGTTTTAATGCAGTTAGCGACTTTGTCATTTTTTATATTGTTTATTATTACTCATTTAAACTGTTACAATACATGCTCATGTCTGTCCAGGATATAAAGTATATGGTCTTATTTTGATATGGTCAAACTTGTTCTAAACTATGCGTGGGAGGTGCAAAGTCAACCTAGTCGACGTCATTTTTTAATTTATTCGAATCAAAAGTACAAAAAACGAGTAACAGGTTCATAAACCTCACATGACTTTTTTGTATTAAAACCTCTGTAATCCACCGACGTGCCTAATAGACATATAATAAACAACAGCATTACCATCAAGAAAGTAAGTTTGTGTAGTCATTATATTCCTATTTCACTTTCAGCTCATTATAAAACAGTGAAAATAAGAAATTAACAGTTTTTATACGAGACATGCGATTTGCTTCGTATATTTTATCACGAATCATTAATTCTTTTTTTATATACACCGTTTTAACGCCATCGTTACACAATAGGATTTGAGTAGTTTCAGAGAGGATTATAGCTAGTCAATCGTCCAGTACTTCGAGTCTATCTGAACTCTTGTGATACAAGTAGAGCGAACCTTTAGAAAAAAGGTATAAAAACCATAGAAGCTTCCGTAAATTTTGAAAATTCTCATAATAAACGCAAGCAGCGGCAACACTGCGGCGAGCGATCTGTTCGAGAACGATCGCGCGGCGACAGTGCGCTCAGTTTAAACCCGAACGGCACAAAGTTCAGCGGTTGGGTTAGAGTTGGCCTGCGATTAAAAACATTATGAGCAGTAGCGAGAAGATTAAGACACACCATTTCCATTCGGGATGGGAAAAACAATATTTCTTTACAGAAGTTAAAAATAAAAATGTATGTTTGTTATGTAATACATCTGTTTCCGTTGTCAGAAAAGAGAATATCGAGAGGCAATATAAACCAGAACGGAAAAACTGAAACAATTAAAAAATCAGTTAATTGGACAGCAGACAATGTTTTTAAAAAATCTTATGAAGACGGGGAAATGAGGAACCTTATAGAGCTTGGAAATAACATCAAAATGAGACCCTACATATTCGATTTGTTGCAGGATGAATTGTTTTATACAAAAAAGGCACAAGATAAAATAATAGATGAAACTTAAATCATCTGTAGTGATTAACATTTAGAAAAGATCTGAATGTTAATCCAGAATGGATTGATCCTCAAAATCTAGCTCTATCCTAACAGTGTCAAACTTGAGGAAGCTTTTGAAAATGGGCAATATTGTCCATTTGATCTTTTAAATGTCGTGACCATCAGCATACATCAACATATTAAGCATTCCTCGTGAGACAAATGAAGGAAAAAAATCAATTACTGCGAATTAGGAGTGCCCAATAATATACTAAGTGACATATAAATCCAGTTTAAATGGTTTTATTTTAATAAAAGTTGGTGAATGTATTTATCTTACTGTAAATAACAAGTGAAAAAATTTTCAGCCTTATCAGTTGGACATTCCGGTTTTTATACTGCTTTTTTTTAATTCACTAACGCTCTAAAAATGAATATTTCAGCCGCAGTAAAGAATCAACGTTGGCGGATTTTGGTTCTTGACATCCTTTACGATCGGTTACGATGCGTAGAGTACGGAGACCTGTACGATTTCGTCAACTTAGTGAGTTTGATAGGGGCCGTATAGTGGGACTTCGGGAAGTTGGACTTTCTTTTCGGGCAATTGCAGTTAGAGTGCAAAGAAGAGTAGACACTGTGGTTAGGTGTTGTCAGGCATGGCTTCGAGAAGGCCGTACGCAAAGAGCAAGGGGCACTGGACGCCGCCGTAGAACAACAGACCGTGAAGATCGTCGTCTAAGATTATTGGCCTTAAGGGACCGTTTCTCCACTACCAGGTCCATTGCAAATTAATGGTTTGCAGAACACGGAATACCTATTGGCATGCGAAGTGTTTACTGACGAATGAGAAGTTTTGGCTTGTTTTCATACCGGCCACACTGGGTCCTCCCTTAAACTCGAGAACACCGACGTAATCGCCTTGAGTGGTGCAGACAACGGTCACTCTGGGATCAGGAATAGAACAGTATTGTCTTTAGCGACGAGTGTCGATTTTGTTTAGGCATGCACGATGGTCGTGCCAGGGTTAGAAGGCGACGTGATGAAAGGAGGAATCCACAGTTTTTTGTTGAAAGACATGTTCATCACACTGTTGGAGTTATGGTTTGGGGTGCTATAGCTTATGGTTCCAGGTCACCTTTAATCTTCATCAGAGGTAACATGAACGCGCAGATCCAACTTTCCAACAAGATAATGCCCGAAAACATGTTGCAAGAGTCACAATAGACTTCTTTCAACATAATGATGTCACATTGTTACCATGGCCACCAAGATCTCCCGACTTATCCCCAATTGAGCACGTGTGGGATATGATGGGTAGGAGATTGCTCAATTTGCAACGTCCTCCTCAGACTCTAGAAGCACTTCGAGAGGAGTTGGTGGTTGCCTGGAATGAGATACCACAGGAGGACATTGACCACCTGATCAGAAGCATGTCTAGGCGCGTAGGAGAATGCGTAGCACATCAGGGTGCATCCACACATTATTAAAGGTCAAAGGGCTTTAAAGCAGTGCAATCATTTTGAAATTTTTATCATTTACTTATTATGCTTCATTAAGTACTTATACAAAATTTTATTAAAATAAAACCATTTAAACTGGTTGTTCGAATTTATATGTCACTTAGTATAGATGAAACTTAAATCATTTGTAGTGATTAACCTTTAGAAAAGATCTGAATGTTAATCGAGAATCGCTTGATCCTCAATAGCTTTTAAAAATGGGCAATATTTCCATTTGATCTTTTGAATGTCGTGACCGTCAGCATACATCAACGTATTAAGCATTCCTCGCGAGACAAATAAAGAAAAAAAGTCAATTACTGCGAATTTGGAGTGCCCGATGGCGAACAACTGCGAACGACCTCAAGAAGCGTGCCGGATAGATCTGAACTGCGATATTAAGGTCAAAGTCACTACGGCGTCTGGTGATCTGCCATTTGCGCATATTTCGCGCCATTTATACACTTTCATGGTCGAAGAAAGCGGTTGCTGTTAGAAAGAATACGCACGGCATAGGCGACGCGTTGTCGACAGATGGAAGCTTGTGCCTTGTTTGGATTTTTCTAATTGACTGAACCTCAAATAGACACGGACTTCTCAGCGTTACGTAGCTCGGAGCTGTCCGCGGGGCGGAGTTCTGTCATCCCTGCTGTGGGGTCTCGTGATGAACGATCTCCTCGTTACGCTCAGCAGCGTGTCTATGCTGAGGATTTAAGCATAGTGGTTAAGGATCGCTTTGTTGTACGGTATCTGAGATTATGCAGGGCGCTCTGCGCCTGCCCTTCTTTGGGACTAGACTGCTAATATCTCAATCAGTAAAATATCTAGGAGTCATCCTGGACTGTAAGAGCTTGAGTTGCCAAAAGGCCTGACGAACAGCTATCCACGATTGGCTGTCCATGGTCTGGTGAACGGAAGCAGCATGTTTATTGGCTTTTCTTTGTTCCAGGGTTGGAGAGCTGTGGAAGTGATTCCCGAAGGCGCATCTGGATGGATACCTCACGACCTCTCAGCAGATCAAACGTACCCTCTTATAGTCAAACGAAGACGATTGAAAAAACGACGACGGCGACCTCAGATTATCGTGGACACCAGCATCGAGACAATCTCCGAGGAGAGCGTTTCTGTGGAGAGAAGACCGATACGACCTCAAAAAACGGACAAGGATGTGGAGAGACCTCAAAAAACGGAAGAGAATACTGGAGAAACTCCATTGGTAGAGATTGATAAAGAAACAGGAAAGAATCAGAGAAAGAAAACTAGGCCACTTGAAAAAGGAAGACCTCACGTAGAAAACAGTGAAGATCAAGAACAAAAAAGTGAAACAAAACCCCAATTGGATAAGGAGGATCCAAAACGACCTCGTGTACCTGCGCATAGACCTCAAAAAGTGCACCAAAATCATGATGAAGCTCTCAAGCCTGAAAACCACAAAAGTACGCGCCTTCCATTACCTCAAAATGTAGATGATAGAGACGACTCTCAAGAACTGCCTGCCATACGAAAGAGGAAGCCCAGTCCTCAAAAGTTGGAGCAAGACTATCAACCTCAAAGATCAAAGGAAGAAGATGGAGAAGGCTCTTCTAAGACCGAGGAAAGTGAAGAGGTGCCCCAGATTCAAAGGAGGAAGATCAAGCCTCCCAGGTTGGACCGAATCGAGGAGTCATGGGAAGATATGAAGGACGAGATGGACGTTAGGCCGAATATAAGAAGGAGACCACCTCCAAAGTATCAGTCCTCATCCGAAGAGGGAGCTGTGGTGTTCAAGATGGCCGAAGAAGTTGACAGCTATGGAAAGAGACAAGGTTCAAGGTGAAGTTGCTATTTTGATAAGCGTTTTAACCAATTGAGCTAAAACTTTATTTACACGCTTGATTCTCATGATAGTACATACTAAATTAAATGCCGTCATTTTGTATCCAATATGGCGCATCTTACAAACTGGCGAATCCTTATTTCCATAGAAACCCTTACGATATGGGTAACAAATGAAAGAAATACAATAATCAATCTAACGCGATTCCAGTCCAATATGGCGGCCCCCGCATAATGGCGATTTAACATTTTAACCCCCATGATATGGGTATCAAATGAGAGCGCTTGATGAGAGAAACAAAACCATCAATGTGATGTATTTCTAAATCCACTATGGCGGCTCCCGCATAATGGCGATTTAACATTTCCAAAATAACCGCTACGATATGGGTATCAAATGAAAGTGCTTAATGAGAGAAACATAATAAGCAACGTGACGTTATTCTAAGTTCGATATGTAATATTATTATGACATAATGCTGATCTATAATAATCATATCGAGTCTTAGCTTTTCAATTTTAGATAGTTCGTTAAAATATAGGTATGCTTTATTTCTTCGATCAATGGAATAAGCAAACTTATAGATGTAAGTATACTAAGTGACATATAAATCCGAACATCCAGTTTAAATGGTTTTATTTTAATAAAAGTTGGTGAATCTATTTATCTTACTGTAAATAACAAGTGAAAAAATTTTCAGCCTTATCAGTTGGACATTCCGGTTTTTATACTGCTTTTGGTTCTTGGCATCCTTTACGATCGGTTACGATGCCTAGAGTACGGAGACCTGTACGATTTCGTCAACTTAGTGAGTTTGATAGGGGCCATATAGTGGGACTTCCGGAAGCTGGACTTTCTTTTCGGGCAATTGCAGTTAGAGTGCAAAGAAGTGTAGACACTGTGGTTAGGTGTTGTCAGGCATGGCTTCGAGAAGGCCGTACGCAAAGAGCAAGGTGCACTGGACGCCGCCGTAGAACAACTGACCGTGAAGATCGCCACCTAAGATTATTGGCCTTAAGGGACCGTTTCTCCACTACCAGGTCCATTGCAAATAAATGGTTTGCAGAACACGGAAGACCTATTGGCATGCGAAGTGTTTACCGACGAATGAGAAGTTTTGGCTTGTTTTCATACCGGCCACACTGGGTCCTCCCTTTAACGCGAGAACACCGACGTAATCGCCTTGAGTGGTGCAGACAACGGTCACTCTGGGATCAGGAATGGAACAGTATTGTCTTTAGTCACGAGTCTCGATTTTGTTTAGGCATGCACGATGGTCGTGCCAGGGTTAGAAGGCGACGTGGTGAAAGGAGGAATCCACAGTTTTTTGTTGAAGGACATGTTCATCACACATGGTTTGGGGTGCTATAGCTTATGGTTCCAGGTCACCTTTAAACTTCATCAGAGGTAACATGAACGCGCAGCGTTATATCCACGAAGTTCTAGAACCCCATCTTTTACCCTATCTTGACACCCTGGCAGATCCAACTTTCCAACAAGATAATGCCCGACCACATGTTGCAAGAGTCACAATAGACTTCTTTCAACATAATGATGTCACATTGTTACCATGGCCACCAAGATCTCCCGACTTATCCCCAATTGAGCACGTGTGGGATATGATGGGTAGGAGATTGCTCAATTTGCAACGTCCTCCTCAGACTCTAGAAGCACTTCGAGAGGAGTTGGTGGTTGCCTGGAATGAGATACCACAGGAGGACATTGACCACCTGATCAGAAGCATGCCTAGGCGCGTTGGAGAATGCGTAGCACATCAGGGTGCATCCACACATTATTAAAGGTCAAAGGGCTTTAAAGCAGTGCAATCATTTTGAAATTTTTATCATTTACTTATTATGCTTCATTAAGTACTTATACAAAATTTTATTAAAATAAAACCATTTAAACTGGGTGTTCGGATTTATATGTCACTTAGTATATATCGGATATATTCAATAAAAAAAGTATCATTTTATCCATAAACTATATTTTGGATGAAAGTTGCTGATCTTCAACTAACCTTTTCAATTTTCCAGATTACCCAACGAAGACAAAGACTCGGCCTTAGCGGACCTGAAGTCGCTCCTGAAGAAATCTCAAGGCAGCATAAGTCTCAGCGAGATACTTCAACAGAAAAACCTTTCTCTAACAGAGGTGTTGAACGGTAACCAAAAGGCAATATCAGCCTTAACGGAGAAGCCCGTGGAAGCCACAGAACCAATGCCTACCAAGGTTTCAGAGTTGCAACTCACTAAACACAAAAGGCTGCCTCCATCTATCGCTCTTAAGAAGAACTTCAGCAGAACTGAAGATAACGGAGACATCCTGTCCACTAAAGAGCTTCAAGAGGCGCAGAAGAGAAGAACGGCCATTTTGCAAAATCACAAAGAAAACAAAATCTTCTCTACCGTTACCAAAATGGATGTGGTCACGGAAGCGCTTACAGAAAGGAGAATCTTCGTACCGTCACATCCAAAGTTATATACTTCTCTCAACTATAAACCTGACTTTGCCACTTATTTTGAGCTTTCAACAGAACCAATTACAAACGAAATCCAAACTACAACCCCTACAAGTACAACAAGCTCCACAACTACTGGAAGAATGCATTTGAAACCAAAAATCAAGTCTCCGATTGTCAAAATCACTATCAAACCCCACAAAAATAGCGAAGGGACACCACCTTTCCCACAACCAATTAAAATTGATATCAGCGAGGTTCTAGGGTTTGAAGAACATGAGAAGTTTAAAGATGAACCTTTAAGAATGCCTATTGAAATAGACAGAACCACAAATCGTATAGATGAACCAAGTACTACTGTTAGTACAAATGACGATTTAAAAGAAATTTCATCTGCTGAGAAAGCACCACATATAACAGCGAAAGACGAAATCAGCGAAATTCTCAAAGACGCAAAAGATAGAGAAAGACTAGCTAAGATACTAGAAAGTCGAAATATGACTTTGGAAGAGCTGGTAGAGCAAAGAGAACGTGGTTCGAGTCAGCTCCACCTTGCTGATATCTTCCACAACAAAACCAAAGAGCCCAAACCTGTTGGCGAGCCACACGTAGGTAGAATCATGTCTCATTTCGTTCACAGTTTCCCAATGTTTAGTGCGCCAAGAGAATTTCCTCAATCAGGGAACATTGACTCTAAACTAGGATCGATATTTGAACAGAAGAATATTGTGCAAGCTGTTCCAGAAGGTAAGCCTGAAGGTGTAATTCTCCTTGGGCAGATAGAAGACGCAACTAAGTTAGGTATACATCCAGGTGAAGTTTTGCCAGATACCCTTCCAGCTTTTACAAGAAAGCAAAAGAGTTATGGAGTAGAAACGGCCACGGAACCACCAACAAGTACCAAGTCAATCGTTGAAGCACCAAGTACGATGAAAGTCGAGGAGTTCCAGAGTAATGTCGTTACAAGCGCAAAAGTTGTGGAAACTGATGACCAACCGAGACCGACAGATCAAGCTCTTTCTTTCGGTAAAGTAGACATAGATCACGTGGATTCTTTGAGTTGGCAAAAAGTATATCCTGAGCTATTTCCAGAACTATATGGAGGTGTTAAGGGAAATACTTTCATCACCGCACCTCCGGTCAATTTGGACGAAACTTTGCAACGGCTGGAAGAAACCGATGACAGTTCAATGTTATCATCTAAAGAACGCTTCTCGTTAAATAAGTTCGACGATCAGGCGTTCACAAAAATACCGACAGGCGTCAAATCAGTGCTCATCGTCAGTTTTTCTATTATCGGTCTGTCTATTCTGGTTTTCCTGACTATTTTGATGGTGTTCAGATGGTTGCAGAAGCAACGGAGGAAGATGAATTACTGCGGAAGTTTATCTTCGAAACTGAGATCTCCAATGTTGATGCAAGGCAGTCCCACGGCTGCTATTAAGACTTTTATGAATGAAACTTTGGGTAGAAGGAAGCATTACTATAAGTCGAACGTGCACTGTATGACTGACGATACGTGGGGATGTGATAGGGAGAGAACGCCTTCGTTTTAGGAAATTGTGATGTTGGAAAAAGTACTGACGACTTCGTGCACTATTTTTACTTTCTGAGGAAGCGTTATAGGTGTACACAACTTTGCAATAGGGCATTTTCCAATATTTTAATGTAGGCGAATTATTAATCGCCAGCATCCGTAGCCAAAACAACCTATTGAAAAAATGTAATGGTGACCTTGACTTTGAGCGTCAAGGTCATTTGACGACCATAGTCAAGGTCATGAACATACCATACTTGAACATTTCCACTCTTCACATTTCAGATGTTAAAAACCGGATAATTTAATAAAACTGTCATGACCTTAACAAAAGCTTGAAGGTTCTAGTCAAGGTCACATTCAAGGTTACCTTTATATCACCCTTTTCAACACTGAAACCATTTTCTTTATCGATGTATTTTGTCATTTCACACTGAAATACTCACGAAGGTCATGGTCAAGGTCATGGGAAAAATCATACGCAAAATTTCCTGCTCATTACATTTCCGGTGTCAAAAATAAGGGTTTCATTTAATAAAACTGTCTTAACCGTAATATGACATTGAAGGTCAGTCAAGGTGACGTTAAACGTTACCACGATATGACCTTTTTCAAACGTTACACCTTCTGCTATACTTTTCTTGAAGAAGCGTATTTTTTCGATATATTATGCACTTTCGCGCTCAAATACTCATAAAGGTCATGGTTAAGGACATTGGCAGAAATATTCGTAAAATTTTCTGGTCTTTACATTTCCGGTGTCAAAAGTAAAGATTCTCATTTAATGAAACTGGATTAACCTTAACATGACCTTGAAGGTCAACTAAAGGTCACGTTCAAGGTTCACATTATATGAACCTTTCCAAACCATACAGCTTCATTCTAATACAATTTTCTTTATGATGCGTATTTTTTCGATATACACCCATTTAGTCCTTTCACGCTCAAATCCTCATAAAGGTCATGGTTAAGGTCATGAACAGAAAAATACGTAAAATTTCCCGCTCTTCACGGGGTTTGATTTATTAAAACTGTCTTAACCATAACATGACCTTGAAGACAACGTCAAGGTCACGTTCAAGGTTAACGTTATATGAATGATTTTTTCGATATATTTCGTCCTTTCACGCTGAAATCCTCATAAAGGTCATGGTCAAGGTCATGAAAAAATACGTAAAATTTCCCGCTCTTCACATTTCTCGTGTGGAGAATACGGGGTTTCATTTAACTTTAACATGACCATGCAGGTCATAGTCAAGGTCACGTTCAAGATTACCATTATATGACACTTTCCAAACGTTACACCTTCATTCTGCTACAATTTTCTTTATGAACGTATTTTTCCATATATTTTGTCCTTTCACGCTCAAATACTAATGAGGTTCACGGTCAAGGTCATAGTTAAGACTCTTCTTTAACTTGACAACTTTTGTCTCCAACATTTTTCTCTAGGAAACGTAATCTTCAAGATATTTTGATGTATGATTAGTTTTTTACCGCCCTGTATTTTGAAAGATGTTTTGGCTATGGATGCTGACGATGTCGCTAATGGTTTCTCGACAAGGAGGGCTCTTAAACTTATCGTCAGCAATTTTACTATTAGTTTTAGTGATTTTGACGTGCAATATGATAATTAGTGATAAAATGAATAACAGAACTGAATATGTAATATTTGTCTATGGTCATTCAGAGATAACGGAATTTTTTTCTCAGTAAAATGACTGACAGATTTTCTGTCACAGATATTTTTCTCTATTTTCTCTCAATGTAACTGGTCATAATGATAAAATACTTCGGTAAAAATTCAGGTATGGTTGCGTTTTTTTTTGTTACCTTTTTCGCAGCTCCCATTTTAACAACCATATGACGTTATATTAAAAAACTGATTTATTGATTTCAATTGTTCGCTCAACAAGTGTAATATATTATCGTGTACTTTAGTTTAAGCTGCCATTATTTATTTTTAGAACTTTATGGTAATTGTAAGTTATCTAAGAATATTTGTACAATAAAAGTGATACTAAGCAGCCGTGTTTTACGTGAACTTTTTGTTAGCATTCAATGTGAATATGAAAAAAAGATGAACATATCATCAGCCATTCTCTCACTCACATTAAAATATTTCGGAATACAAAGTCTAGCAGTCAAATTGACATAATGACACTAGCTAGACACAATTTTTTACAACAGTGACTTACAGGGTGATAAGGATGAAAATCACATTGAAATGAAGCAGGATTTTCATTCACAACGCGTATGTTCTTGCACTTGGAATTATTGGTTTTATTCATAGACGCTAGACAATAAAAAGTTTCCATAGAAACCTCTGCTATATGTACTAGTCTAGCCCTGCTCATCCTGATGTGGTGCAAGCGTCACATACGGTTTAAATCACACCAATCGGCACTAGTTTTAACAAGGCTACTTCAAATACACCATTAACGTGCTCATAATGGTCCAGTGATTGTAGACAAACTCTATTTCTTTCAGGGCGGTTTCAAAACAGCATCAATGTCTCTGCGGTTTAAGGCACGTGAAAGGTAACACTAAAATCTTCTGTAAGGAAGTGTCTTGAAATTAAAACTTATATCTGCAAAGCAGATAAAGATATGGTTTTAAAAGTTGGTATAGATGTGGTATAAACAGTGAAAGAAATTATTTTATTATAAAATCATTTCCTACGGCACTTCTAAATATTCAATTTTATTTTATTACTAGACTAAATCGCTCTCTGCTAGCGTGGAGGTAGTGTGAAGTATACGTCATTCGTTTCGCATTAGTCTGAAGATTGGTTTCTAAGAATGAAAAGCAATGTTCACAATACTGCAATAGTTAATTTAGCCATGAAGTTTTATCCAACATTTAAATGCAACAATAAATTAGTATCCACTTTTTCGCTTTTTTATATCAACGGAGAAAAGGAAGGAGTCTACTTGATCTTAAAATGACCTTGACGGTGTAGGTCATGTTCATTGGTAAGGATGTACTTGAACTTAAAATTGCCCGCAATTTGCATTTCAGGAATTAAAAATAGATGTTTCCCGTAAAAAATTAATTTGATCCTCAAATGACCTTGATGGTCATAGTCAAGGTCATGGACATGCTCGAACATCGTTTCATGCTCTTTCTATTTCCGGTGTCAAAAATAGGTGTATCTATCTATGAAAACTGTGACAATCACAACATCCATAGAAAAATTCTCTTGGGACGGATTTGAACTCGCGAAACGCACAGCGACTGAAGGTCATAGTCAAGGACATGGACATACTTGAGCACAAAGTTTCTTGGTCTTTGTATTTAAGGGTGTTTCGATTCAATAACACTCTTTTGACCTTCAAATAACCTTGAATGACGTTCAAGGTCACCCTTAGATGAATCTTTTCATAACTTACAATTTTATTACACCCACTTTTCTTTGTTTTTTCGAGATATTTTGTGCTTTACAAACTTGCTGGACATACTCAAATACCCATATATATTATAATTTAACGTGCGGTGACAAAAATAGAGGTTTAATTAAATAAAGCTATCTTGACCTTTAGATGGCCTTGAAGTATAGTACGAGATCACCAAAGAACGAATATTTTGTTTTTACCTCGCTGTCAGGAGGAAAACATCGGGGTGGGCTTAGCTGTGATTGGTTATTTCAAGGGCGTGCTCGTTCCTCAGCAAGAATTGGATTACTGCGCAAGTTGGTGTACTTGCGGTCGTCCATTAGAGGCTCAACTTTGTCGAGTATGTCAAATCATTCGATTTGGCAAAAATTTCGAATTGGTTATAGTCCCTTCTTGCGCTATTTATTATTTCCTAATATTTCTGGATTATGATGGAAGCAGTCCAAAACGGAAGCCATTTGCGTTTGTATTATCTCCGTTTCTGCGTCCTAGGAAACAATCTGTGCATCGGCACGGCATATCATTATTATTGGAATCGACCCATTGATTACAATCTCATTAGTGGAAATCCAAACCGATATAGTGCTAGAATCATTAACAGGAATTTACCGATGTGTTTACTAAATAGCGATGGGTCCCTTCATATTCATGCAACAATTTAGAGAAAAGTCAAGCGTTTGGTTTTGCCACCGTTTCATAGATGGCGATATGAACCTCGATTCTTCTTTACAAGCTTTTTTTATTTCATCGCCACACCTGCGACATGGGTAACAAATGAAAAGGCTTAATGAGAGAAATACAATAAGTGAAGTGACGCCATTCTAAATCCAATATGGCAATGACAATTTATATATTTCATAGTCAAGTCCAAAACTATGCGTGTCAAATTAAAGGGCTTGTTGATGAAAACAACAAACAAAGGAATTCTGGATCCAATTATTACGTTTTGACAACACAAGGGTAAAAGGGTCCAACACGTTTTGGTTTGAAAACTTGAGATGAAGGAGCTTTATAATCGTTTAAATATTTCCAATCGAAAAGAAATATCAGTTCGTTTTCTTAACAGATGAATAAAACCTAGTTTTTAAATGTATTTTTTAATTTTCTTGGCAGTGACTATCGTATTTCACCAGAATACGTAATCAAAAAATTTGATACAATTACCGGATCCACTTGACTTGTTTTTTTAGCAACCGTAAACATTCGAAGATACAGTGAGTAAAATCAGTGAAAGTACAAAATTCTTCACTATTCAACAACTGTTGTTATTGACCCGCGATCTTGAAACGTTGGAGAAATTCCCATGCAATGTGTTCGCATATTTATGTGATAATAATTTAGATTTTATTGCGGTTTCAGAGAGATCTGCATATGCGACATCGTAATATCACTGTAATGTGGTGTAATTGAAACAAAATGAGGAAGAAAGTTTTTGTGAGATCAATGTTAACGCATATATCGGCGAAAGTTTACATTTTTTGTTATAATGGAATCAGATGATGATAAAAAGGAATTATAATTTGGTGTGCAAAGAGAGATTTTAAAACTATCCAGTCGGCCGGCACGTATTGGATAATGTGGAGGTTATCAGTGGAAAAAAGATGAAATCTCGGGGTAATTTTCAATAGTTGATAGTTTTAAAAACTCCAAATTTCTTCCAAAATCAATCAACGCTTATTTTTAAAAAAACCTTTCAAAATGATTCGCCGTTTAATAATAAAAGAATTCCGTCCTAATCGAACCTCATCAGTCAGTTTTTTATTCGTCGACTATGTGTTCCCTTCACTGTTGTTTTAAAAACAATTTCAGCCACAATCTCGCCGACTTACTCCAGACGATGAAGACATAGATCTTCGAAAGCTTGAGATTTTAGGTTATAAGAGTGTACTTTTGCAATACTTTGCCTAAAGGATATCTTCTCCTAACAGTTAAGGCAATTAACTATGAATACTATATAATGTATATATATATATATTATATTAAGAAACACGATTTTTGTTGTATTTCTTTTATATGGACACCCCTCTTGAACGGACTTTCAGTTGGTCCCACTGGTGTCCGTCCAAAGTGAGATTTCACTGTATATGAAAAAAAACTCACCTGTACTCATCATAAGTGAACTTTCCCCTCATCAGCCTACTGGCAGGATCATCCGAAACATGGAACAACTTGTGAAAGTATGCAAACTGTCTCGCTATGCTTTTGTTCAACTTCAACGCGTTCTCTAAAGTTGGGCTACCTTGCAATTCTTCCAACTCATCTCTGGTAAAGTACAGCGCAGTGGAGTAACTGTCTGGTAACATGTCCAGATACGGCTTCCAGAAAGAATTTCCTTTGAACTTCTCATAGAGGAGGTAGACAGATAAGGCTACAGTGGGTATTCCTTTGAGTAGTTGGTCTGTTTCAATTAAATGTTTGAATGCGCTGTTAGAGGCTGATTTTACTGTTAGGATTAAATTTCTGGGTACAGCTAACACCAAGGAAGAGAATTCTGTGTCTTTTGTTACTTTCAGTCCCAATTCGTATCCGGGAAATTCGCATATTTCGCAGGATTCAAGTTTGGCGCCTTCAGATGTTACCCAGTTCATGAAACGCTCGATGGTGGCAGCATTGCGCCGATTATTGACAGTTTCCGGATCACTTGATTTATTTACATAATTCAACTCCAAATTTCTCAGTTTTTCCGCAATAACGTTTATTTCCACTTGGGTTTCTAATGCTTTCGAGATATTTTTCTCGGGAGAGGTTGCGCAGATTCGCAACAGTTGGTCTACGTTTTCGGCGATCTCTGTTTTCGTCTCCTTGATTTTTTGATGTCTTCTTTTACGCACCATTTTTGAACTCGATTAGGATTCGCGGGTACTGATAACGATTATCAACAATCGGTCACTCAGGAATTTGATGTATAAACTATATAAAAGTCACTTTCTGATTCGAGCAACCTTGTTTTCATTGGTTTATTTTAAGATACGCTGGATACCCACGAGTGATACATTTTAGGTTATGTGAACTTTGTTTTCCTTTTTTAACACGTTCTCGATAGGTAACAGGAGATGACATACCTATACTCCGGTCCACAGAGGGCCTGGTCTGTTCTAAAATATGCCGAGAATATATTGCATTACATCTAACATTATTACCAAAGAAAAAAGTGGAAATGTCAATAAAAGAACTCGACGAATTCCGCAGTATAATGCTGATATCTCATATATCTATCTGGTTTCATTTTAATTAAGCAGTTAAAACATGCTAAATTGACTGGATTATACGCGCTAGTTCGTTACGTATCGAGTTACCGTGACAGAATAGAGATGGGTGTTACTTGGAAAAGTACTATTTTACTTCATCTTGATGCTATCAAAATTTGTTGAATACTAAAATGGAAATACATCCACTGGTCACTACCTTCTTTAGAATGCATGGATTGACTACCCATATGTTTATCAGTGGGATGCTCTGGTTATCGTTTATTTTTTTGTTATACGGGTTACTTACATCAAAATATCTTAAAAAATTCGTTTCGTAGAGAAAAATGTTGTAAAGTAGTACCTAGTAAGTTTTGAAAAAGGTTGTATCTAGCAGTGACTTTGAATGTGACCTTGACCACGCTATTCAAGGTCACTAAAAGGTCATGACGGCTTTCTGTAATGGAAACCTTCATTTTTGATACCGGAAATGCGGGAAATTTTACGTTCAAGTAAGCCTTTGTACATGTCCTTGATGACTATGATTTACAAGGTCATTTCAGGGCATCCAAAAGGTTTGCAGAAAACAAAATATCTCAAAAATTCGGCTACTTAAAGAAAAATTTGCAGAGCAAAGTTTCAAATAGGTGTCATTTAAAGGTGACCTTAATTGCCCTGGTTCTAGATACATAAAAGTTTATTTATAATACAATACCGTACGTACATGTTAGTAGGTATAGGTTTGTTTTTAGAGGGTGTAACCTGCGCTAAGAACCTACTTGGCGCCATCTTTTCCTATCTAAAACTTCCTGGCTATATCGTTAGGTCGGAGTTGGTGCTGAGCAAAAGGTCGCACAGCTTCATATCAGTGCGCGTTTCCGCTTCGACACGGGAAGCGGTCCAGCGGGAAAGCATCCTGTGGGAAGAGAGCGGGAACGTTGGCGCGGATAAATATGCTGCTACAAACGGTCAATGCCGCTGAGCGTTATTATGATAAGCCGGACGAAATACTACAAAAAATGTTGCTGAATTTTTAAAGGAGTTTTTGGAAGCGACAGTTTCACCAATATGCTCTACGGAAGTTTTAAATTTGTGATGAAGCTTGTTGTACTCATGAACGGTGAGTTCGTTGTTTTGATCAGTTTAAATGAATCGACGCTTTGCTTTTACTTCTTAGTGTCTCAAATACAACACAGGATTTGTTTCCCATTACATAGAAGAAGACATTACCTACGTTTATGTGACAGATTACAATAATTTTACATAAAATATTAAACTAAATATTCATGTCATACCCAATCTATTTATATTTAAAACCTAATAAACCAAATCCACTTTTCTTTAGGCAATGTGCCTAATAGTGCCGCTGAAAGCATTTGCCTTAACTTTAATGTGCGTATAAACTGTGAGTTGTTTTTTGTTTTTTTTAATTTTTTAATAAAGTCTTGTTACTATTATTATCACAATTTCTAGAATTTTATTATAAACTCAAATGGCGTCACAACGATTGAATATAGGTATAATCTTTATTATAAAAAAGTTACTAAAAACTTTTAGGAGAATCTAAAAATTAGAAAAAGGAATTTCCATTATCTTATTTTTGGACCCTGCATTGTACGGCTATAGATAAAAAGACGTCCCTCTAAAAATCAAAATTGACTTTTCTGAGCGTATTTCCCAAAATGTACTAGGAGAGTCACCAACGGGGGTCACCCTGTAGATAGATTTAAGGGTGGACCGAAGGCAAAATAGGTAGATCTACCTAAAAGTTGGCAGATTTGGCAACGCCCATTGGGCAGAGGCGAGGCGACGTTGCCAGATTGACGGTACTACGCGAAAGACAGGGAAATAATATTATGGACTAATGGGCCTGTTTGACGGACTTGATCCGTTTAACTTCTGTGTTATGTATGTTCGTAATCAACTTGTTTCTTAGAGGGTCTCCTTAAACTTGCTGCTTTCTTCTGTCCCACCAAAGATAGCCAACTAAAAAGTTGTTTCATGTTTTTTAGCAACTCATCAGCATGATCTAGGCTTGGTCTCTGGTGTCTCGGACGACAAATAGCATTGACGATTTTTTTGTGTCACATGCATAGGGCAAGTCTGAAGAATTATTACATTTTTCGTATAATTCCAAAGACGAATAAAGGATTATGATAGTTGACGTGAAAAGTAAAACCAAATCCCAAAGCCCTTGTATCACTTCGATGCCATAGTCCGCACTTCGCACTATCAATACGAACGAACAACTAAATCAGCAGACGTGCTGCTGGTGGCTACTATGCACTCATGGACATGTATCAAGATGCAGTAATATGCAGCCTCCTGCGTCCGTTTGTTAAGTCACATTGTAAAACTTTTATAGTACCTTTTTATTTCAATGGACTTTGTTCGGCATAGCTGGGAGTGCCCCGTCTTCATATAATGTGCAAAATAAAGCTTCACATCGAATCTCCACATGCAAATGAAAATTTCCCATGGAAATTCAATATATTTGCATTTAAATTCGGAATAAAATAACTGTGTCGTTCCGTATATTCGGGTATCAATTCCCCCCTATCATATCTCGGCACCACATGTATATCCAACGTACAGAGAAAAATATATTCTTGTGAGCAAAACTCGTATATTGAAAATCGTACGTTTATTCAGAGAATTTTCAGGAGATAGAACGAAGGTTAACATCACTACACGTCTAAAATATATTGCATCTTATGCTAAGAAACTTATAATTCAATTCAACCATTTTGTCTCCCGACTCAACCAAGAAATAACTGTTACGAATATTAACGTCTATTCTTGCGAGCATTAAGAGACATTTGAGGAGTTGGCAATCCTTTTTTTGACAACCTTTTATAGCCACACTCAGACAGAAAAGCTCGACAGTATTGTTCTAGCATTTACTCGGTCTCGTTCTCCAATTGCTTACTCTCACAGCATCAATGATAGCTCTATACAAATTACAGACGAGATCCAGGACTAAAATATAATTTAACGTAGAAATTGAAAAGAAAAACAATCAACTGTGCATATGCGATCTTAGATTTTGTAAATCAAATTTGTTGATCTGGCACTTTTTTCTTTTGAAATGTTGTATTATTGTTTGGTTCGTTCGTTACTTGACTATTGCTGCTCCAACTTGTCCTCAAGATCAACCAATCAGACCGAGTGCGGAAAAAAATTGAGAATCTGTGGGCTGATACTCTTCTCTTCATTGAGCGACGCAGGTTGGAATTTGACTAACAATTGCACTTAATGTGAATGATAGGAGAACTGATACCTTCTTTGTCCCCTTTCATAAAACAAATTTAAATCTTAGGTTAGAAAACATCTAGTTCAGAAGTATTGGGAATTTCAAACAAATAAATAAATATATGAATAAATAAATGTTTTGTAATACTATGACTATGTGGGTCAGAATCCGAATCAGGCGCCACGCGGTGTGTAGGTCAACCTGGTTTATAATCAAGCCGCTACTGAAAACCGAAATTGGCACATTTCTACAGCAATAACATAGTTATCGATTTGATTATCCTATTGATACTCCGCGAGTGTACTCGAGTATTCAGAAGGTCGCTTTCGTCCTCGATATTTCCATCAGAGTTGCGTAGGTTTGTTTATACCGTGAAAAAGTGGTCTGGGTGGGTACAGCAGAGAGACCGAGACAGCCCCAAATGTTGCAAATTCAGGAAGAATTAGGAAAACTCGTGTTTTTAATCGAATTGTGAAAACTTCAAGCAGTAATTATAATTAGAACATGTGACATGCCGTACTAAATTGTGTGTTTTTCTCAAATTTCTTTTCGGTTTTGTTTTATCGCAAATTTTTGTCTTCTCAAACATAGTGTGGAAGGCCCAACTTTCAGAACACGAGGTATATATTGCTTACGGAAAATGTTTATCGCCAAGCACAGCACAATGTTTCCTAAATAGTGCATCTAAATGGATGCCAGTTAAATAAAGTATGCAATTTCCTCATTTTACAGTTGGTTTTTAATACGTTAATAGCTTTTGCTCTTAGAAAATCACGTTTATGTTCCATAGTTTACAAAGTTTAGGATATTTTCACGTAATTATGAGCATACATTAGAGACAGAGGCGATAATGCACCCCGCAGTCGTGAGATGAATTAAATTAACGTTAAAATGTTTCTGCAGCGGCTTCACGAATACTCGTATAATCACGTCTGCATCACGAATTTTTGAGTTGATCATTTCCATATGTCTGGTTTGCCAAGGATTCTCAATATTTTGACGTTCTTTTTGAAATTAGTCTAGATCAGTCCCTGGTATAGACAGTAAATTGTGGGTTGATAAGCCAAGAAACTTTTTTTCGATAATAATATTAGACATGTATAAAACATGTACAGGGTTATTCAGAAAACATAATTTACAGTATATATAGGCGAAAAATTAAAGCTTCCGCCTTTTGTTGGGTACTTCGACAAAATTTAAGCAAGGAGGACTCTTTATACTTCTTTAATCTCTCTAGCTTTCAATGGTCTTTGCCATCATCATCAGGAGCTGCAATTACATTGAGAAAAGTAGCAAAAATTGTGCAAAATGAATTTAAATTAACTTACAGTAGTATGTGAGGATGTTGCTAAATGTTATTTACGTTAAGGATGAGGGAAACACCCAGTAAGATGGTGAAAGCTGGATACATGGTACAATGGTCAAAATTATACAAACTGCACACAGCTGTATGACAAGAACAAATTAAAAACAGATTAGAAATATTTAAAACCAAAGTTAAGCATTACATCGTGAAACCACTTGATGATTGCACAAAATGGTGTGCATAGAATCATGAGTAAGATGAACCTTTTGACAGATGGCAGAAGGTTAGCAGTGTCCGTGTAGATGGATGGAACGTAAATAACATTTAGCAACATCCTCACATACTACTGTAAGTTAATTTAAATTTATTTTGCACAATTGTTGCTACTTTTATCAATGTAATTGCAGCTCCTGATGATGATGGCAAAGACTAGAGAGATTAAAAAAAGTATAAAAAGTCCTCCTTGCTTAAATTTTGTCGAAGTACCCAACAAAAGGCGGAAGCTTTAATTTTTCACCTAACTGGTCTAGACGACAATGACCACGTCTCAAGTTATATATATATATATTTAATAATAATTTTTAATCTGTTTTTAACTTGTCTTGTCATATTTTATATATTTTTGACCATTGTATCATGTATCCAGCTCTCACCATGTTACTGGACGTTTCCCTCATCCTATACGTAAACAACAATTAGCAACATCCTCACATACTACTCTCCTGATGATGATGGCAAAGTCCATTGAAAGCTAGAGAGAATTAAAAAAAGTATAAAGAGTCCTCTTTGCTTAAATTTTATCGAAGTACCCAACAAAAGGCGGAATATATATATAGGTGAAAAATTGAAGCTTCCGCCTTTTGTTGGGTACTTCGATAAAATCTAAGCAAAGAGGACTCTTTATACTTTTTTTAATTCTCTCTAGCTTTCAATGGACTTTGCCATCATCATCAGGAGCTGCAATTACAATGATAACAGTAGCAACAAAAGTGTTAAATTGAATCAACTTACAGTAGTATGTGAGGATGTTGCTAATTGTTGTTTTCGTATAGGATGAGGGAAACGTCCAGTAACATGGTGAGAGCTGGATTCATGGTACAATGGTTAAAATTATATAAAATATGACAAGACAAGTTAAAGACAGATTAAAAATTATTTAGAAAACATTAGAGCATTACGTCGTGAAGCCACTTGATGATTGCACAAAATGGTGGTCATGGAATAATGAGTGAGATGAACCTTTGACAGAAGGCCGAAGGTTGTCAATGTCTGTGTTGAAAGATGGAACGAATTGTGGGCGTGTGCCAAAACGTTGCCAAATCACTTCAGATGATGTGATTTTCAGAATGTTATGTAAGAAATTGTTAAACCTAACTGGTCTAGACGACAATGACCACGTCTCAAGTTATATATTCATAACAAAACAAACAATAAAATGACATGCAGCAACAAACAAACGCTAAAATCGGAGTCTAGACAATATCTTAAATTTTCTACGTGCATTCATACTGAATACGACCAGCTAAAAGACTTTTGGAAGCATCTCTATAATCTGATAAGT